GGTAATAGGAAAAAATGAGATTTATTTAAGTAACTAAATGACCTATTTCCTTTACTGAGTGATAACCGGATAGTTAAAAACCATTGGCATTTCCTGAATCTATTCCTATTTTTTCATTTCTATTCCCCTTTGGCCATATTTCACATAGCTTTGAACTCTACGAGAACTACATTTCAATGTCTAAAGTTCACAAATTCATAAACAAAGCCCTTGAAAAGATTACAACACAGTAATTTTTCCAATTAGCAGAGATTTTTTACCTGTGCAGGTGTGTCTGTTTCATTGATTGGCTGCCCATCAAATCGGAATCTGATCTGCCTCATTGACAAACCCTAAACAAGAGAGTTTAAAGTAAGCAGCATGTAAAGAAAACAGTAAGCATTCCATTTAGATAAAATTATATGCATATTTAGTCATGGATATATTAAAAGATACCTAAATAAACAATCATCATCTTAACATTTCCATGTGGGAAAAAAGATTTGGGGTGATTCTTTACTTTCTTTAAACCACATTATGTGATACTATTGGGAGTCTGTAATAAATACACCCTTAAGGGCTCTAAAATGGTGGGGGGAAACACTAACATGCTTAATAATGAAAGCTGGGCCAAGCATGGTGGCTCACACCTCTAATCCCAGCACTTAGACCAAGGAGGGAGGATTGCTTGAGCCCAGGGGTTCGAGACCAACTGGGCAACATAGTGAGACTCCTGTCTCTAAAAAATTTTTAATTAGCTGGGCGAAGTGGCATGTGCTTGTATTCCCAGCTACTTGGGAGCCTGAGGCAGGAGGATCACTTGAGCCCAAGAATTCCAGGCTGCAGTGAACTATGCCTACACCACTGCACTCCAGCTTGGGCAACAGAGTACAACTCCACCTCTAAAAAAAGAAAGAAAAGTGGAAGTTACCTAGAAAGGTGTTAATGATTAAAAATAAAACTTTGCCTAAAAGCATCTTACCTTCATTTCTACCCAAGTAGTTCCTACCACTATGCAAACGAATGCCCCCCACACAACACAATGCCAGGCATACCACAGGCACTGAACAAGTTCTTATCCTTGAGCTGTGAAGACACTGCCACCAGAAGACAGGCATTAACAGTCCTTAAAATCACCCATAAGGCCACAATCTAAACTCATGAAATTCCTGCAATAGCTCAAAAGCACCTGCTTTTTAATTTCCTTCTTAGTACTTACCCAAACCTGTAATTATTTGTCAATGTCTCACTAGAAAGCAAGCTCCAGCAGTGATAGGTATCTATACTGTCCTGGTTACACTGCATCTCTTGGGCATGG